TTTGACACATATGCAATAGTCATATCGTGAAAGGTTAATTTTTTGAATAAAGATTTGTAAAAAGAGTAACACTGTTTATGGCACAGTTTCACAGCTATACTTAACCAAAAAAAAAGAATGGATCCATGACAAAATATGCTTGTCTGATACAGGATTGCAATATTTGTCTTTCATTTTCACTATCTGCATGTTTTCTTTTTTTTTGGGGGGGGGGGTGTACATGCCCCCCATCCCCCCTATTTCCAACTCTGCTGTAATACATACACCTCTCTACTGTCACAGTACATCAAAAAAAGTATATCTAAAGTCACAGTAAAATTTTGGACATCCTCTTATGTTAAGATAGTAACACTTTTTATATATATATATTTTTATATATAAACATTACAACTACTAGCTCTATCCTACAAAAAAGATGACATTAATTCAGTGATACCATATAAATTTAAGCAGTTATGATGAATCCAGTAGAAGAAATTCCACAAAACACACAGCCAAGCAGATTCAGGGGTACCAATATAGTTCTCTACATAAGATACTTGAGCATTCTGTTCAACATATTCTTTCATTTTCCACTGCCACCAACGTAAATTCAAGGCCCCAAAAATAGATCATTGAAGCATCTGTCAAACTGGTCTTTTGGCCAGAAAAGCAAAAATCTTTAACACCCTAGATACAAGCAGTTCACATCCTCTGGAGAACTATCAAAGAGTGGGCAGCAGAAAGATTCCAGAAATAGCTATAAGAGCTAGTCTTTGCACAAACACATTTAGAACTGGACATCTACTGGCTTTAGGCAATGGCTTCAGCCAGAGACAGACTCTTCCGAGTACATTGTGGATCAGGTGGTATGGGAACTCTTGTTTCCTAATGGAAGTCTCTAACTGACTCTTGTGCCACCAACCCTCCTTTGGACCTGAAGCCCTACTGGTGGCAAAGAATCATCTGGCGACCCAAATTTTCGGAAACCTTGATCCACAAAATTGGCCTTCATATCAATCCTTTCCATCTCCAACCTAAGAGATCAACCCCTTCATACCCCTATGCCTCCTCTCCATTTAAATGATGCTAATTAAGCACTTTAAAATGATTTGGAGAAAAAAATTGAAAGAAATTTGTATAGATAAAATGTGGTTAAGGACAAACATTTTAAATCACAGTACATCATACTGTACATTTACTAGTATGCATAGCATATAAGGAATTGTAACACAGGGGGAGAAGTTCTTGACATTTATATGTAATACATAATAAAGTCATAGTGTCATTAGTAATCCACACTGCCCCGTTTCTTTCATATGGCTAAGATTCTTTAAGTTTTCTTCCTGGGTTGCCTGGCCTTGGTATTCTGGGGAGGAAGCGGTGTCTGAACCTATCATCTTAAATTCAAATCCCCCCTTATATATTTTTTTTCTCCATAGTACTCTGCATACCACTGGCAGAAGACGCTCAGACATTACATACTCAAGTTTCATCATTCATTATCATTTATCCATTATAGAATATGTTGTACTTTCCAACTGCAACTAATGTACAGCATGCAGCGTGCACCAGATAGGGTAGTGCTGAAGGGCATAGGCCCACCGAAATTTATTATTACATACATTTACTTTAATTTTGGTTGCATGTGCAACTGGCCATAGTTTGAGAAGAGTCTGTACAATAATACAAAAGAGAGATGCACTGATCCAATATTCAGGTATCAGTCATGTGGATCAATCCACATCCAAAACCTTCTTATTTAGTTTTCAGCAATTAGTAAAAAGAAAATGAGTGTAATATGAAAATAGCAATGGCTGATTTGGGAGTCACTAGCTTGGGCTGTTTTGCATATTAGCTACAGTTTCTGATACACAAGGGGCTGCTATCGCAACTGAGTATAAGGGACGCTGTTGACAGAAGAAAAATTGTGGGGCATTTTAAGCATTCGTCACTTGCATATACTCTCTTGGAAGATATTCAAACTGAACTGCAAATGCCTCAAAAATGGTTAAAACAAGACATGCAAACGAGGTGGAACAATATGTTATGCATGTTTCTAGTAGCTTAATTAAAGCTTTTTTGGCATACATTTGTATTTATAATAAAAAAAATATATACATTTTATATATGGAAAATGTATATACTTAATATACATTTTATATATGGAAACAAGGTAAAAAGAACTCTCGGATGTGTATCGGAATCAGAACTGAAAAAATGTGGACCAGCCGATTATTTGATGTTTAGAAATAAAAATATCACAAAGCGTGATTATGATTGGCTCAGAGAGCTTATTCAAAAGCAGCCGAGGTAATTTAGACTGCTTTTTAGGTAATCTTGAAAATTAGAATTGCAGAGCTTTGTTTCCTATAACAGAGTAAAAATGTTTTTGCATAACTTATTGTCTTAATCCTGCTGACTATTGCAGTCCTTGCAATGGGGTGACTACATGCACATTAAATGCAATGTCAATATGCTTTTCCGGTTTTTCCCTTTCGTGTGTTATATAGCTTTGTGCACAAAATGGTCTGCAAGGCCTTAAGGCCCAAACTACAGGCCAAAAGGAGTAACTCTCACTCCAGAAACCACTGTTCTCTAATTTGCTTGAAATGCCTCGTTGGAATTCCAGCCCTTACTTCCCCAACATAGTGAGGTCACCCCGTAACATTATCCTTATTGGCCAGCTACCTGCAAGCGGCAACCTTCAAGACAGGGGTGGAGGGCAAGCTAACCAATCAGAGCACACTGGGCTCATTAGTGGTAAGGCTTAAAGCTCTAACAGAGTGTTTCAGAGTTATAAAGTGAAGAGATGTACAATATGAAGAAAAAAAAAATGTTTTTCACTATTCCAGTGGACCCCAAAAATAAAATTATGAACAATGAAAATGAGAATAATAAGGCCCCTTTGACATACATCATTGAGGTCCAATATTTTGGGTGGCACAGTGGTTAGTGCTATTGCTGCACATTCCCACTTTGTGTGTGGAGTTTGTTCTCCGTGCGTGTGCATAAGTTTACACTGGATCCACTGGTTTCCTCCCACATTCCAAAAAAATGCAACTTTAGTGAATTGGAATGCCTAAGCTGAATGTGTGAGTGCATGTGCACCATGTGATGGGCGCCAATTTCAATATATATATATATATATATATATATATATATATATATATATATAGAAATATTTTGTATATGAACATATTACCTATAAATGATTACTTGAGTAACTGTCAAATTAATCGGAAGGATACTTAAATCAATATATAAATCAACAGCGGTAGCCCTAGTCCAAGTATTTCATGCACCCTATTGACAATTCAGGACTCCTCCTCCCAAAACAACTCTACAAAGAGATGTGGAAAACCAGGGTCCCACTTTCTGCCCACCTTCACCAAGAACTGAGCAATCAGGAGTGCCGGGAACTGGCACTGCAAAATCTGACCAATCATTCTCAATAACGTAAATGGGGAAAAAAATGTCCCTCTCTCGTCACATTAATCAAATACTGGAGAGGTGTTCAACTGATCTTGAAAAAACTTCTGTGAGGTTACTTTACATAGCCCTCATCTTTAATGCACCCAGCACTTTTATAAAACAATTACCAGTTCTGTTCAGCTCTGCATTACACATCCTCTACAGAAGACCTACCAGGCCAGCACAATGCTGCCCAAACAAATGTCATTAACTCCCTTGGTTTCTCACTCAATTTTCTTGAATCACCCCAGGACTTCCTGAACATCTACATCACTCCAGGTTATCATATTTCCATGATCAAAACATTAAGTCACTACTATAATCAACAAAGACACATATACACAAAGGCTTGCATGTTTTGTTGAAAACTGGGCTTGTTGATAAATTTAATACAGATGTCAAATATTACTAATAGAATGGTTATTTAAAAGATAACCAAGAAGATTTTCACATGGGCTTTATAAGCAATTTTAAAATTCCTGTGTCCTATGTCTCCCTTAAATGACCATACCATGAAATATTTGTTTCTAAAATATTTAAGTGCTCTGAATAACGCATGTAGGCTTATAGTACCTGCATTTGTACTTCAAATAAATTAGTCTCACATGTTCAAGTATTATACCTGGCTATTCAAAATCATTATTGTAAATGTAGTGTTATAAAACCAAATAAAATGTACGTAAATAAAATTCTATGTACATGCTACTTCTGCTAGATATTGTGCCTTCATTTACTGGAGGAGCTTAACATCAAAGGTCCATCCATTTTTCAACCACGTATCCTAACTTTGTACTCGCACCCTTGCCTTATGTCCTACAAGACCTAGTACCTTACTGCAACCCTCAAATGAATAAGTGGGCGGAAGCTGGATGGATGGATGATCTTATATTGATTCAAAATAAGCAATCTGTATATTCTGTAGTACTACTGATAAACAGTTTCTTACACTCTGAATGTTCATTGAAAGAGGAATTCAAAACATTTGCTCTATCTAGAGATCTACCTGAATATTTCAATACAAGTTGTTTTAATCAATAGGAAATTTGATGCAGTGGCATTTGTACAATTAAACACAGCAATAAAATAAGTTATAAGATTCTGATGAGGGTCAGTACAAGCTGCTGATGCAATGGCTCTTTGTGTAGAACAGCACTGATTTTGTTTATCGAAACCATTGATTTTTTCTAAGTAGGCCAAGACTATTACGCTGGTTACCTAGGACCTGATTTGCGTGGTACCTATATTGCCACCAAAATTAAATGTAATAATCAATAATATTACACAGACAATATAATAAATACTTAATACTCTAGCATGCATCTGAGCAGCTGCAAGATGGTTAGATGCTTACTTGCTAAGTTTCTGGTATATGAACTATATTACCTAAATAGTGTGCACAGTGGATTATCGATAGTTGGCAAAGAGAAAGAATACTTACCAATCTTTATATTTGTATCCATAACATAATGGGAACCAACCCCCCACCTTACAACAACGTCCTATTCAACTCTGTTTGAACTTATATATAAATTATGAGAAGAGGATACAGGTCAAGTCCAAGTCGAATCCATCTTCCTGGTATCTCCTTTTGTTTCGGCTGACAAATTCCTTAATTATTGCGGCCATTTCCTTCACAGGAGTACAAAATTTCTAAACCTAAAACAAGGTAGCGTTGCCTTATTAAAAAAAAATGCCACTATCCTCGGTCGCTTTTCTCCCAGTTTCTCTGTGTAAACAGTTGACGTTGCAGGATGGATTAGAATGGCTTCGGCTGAATAAAAGAGGGCCTCGTACCGTTCGTCCACAGGCCCGTATTGCCCGGTCCTGGAATTTGTCTTGCAATCCCACAAATGAAAACAGCACACAGTCATTCACCTTCCGACCCTTAAGGTTTTCAAACCGGCTCCAATCTGTAGTACTACCACCTCAATTTATTTGGTCAAAAATCAGAAGTTTTACGCCGTTTATAATCTTAGTAATTCCACTCTTTTAATCATACGCGTTTATACACACGTATTTCTAGACAGATATGCAAAGGCTAGCTAGCTAGCTAACTAGCAACCCTGACATTCTATAGCTAGATAGCTAGCCAGCTAGCTAGCTAGCTAAGTAGAGCAATTGAAATACAAATCGAGCAATCCTTGTCTTCGGAATGTCAACAAAAACATACAATTTTGACAGCCCACATATTTACCATTTTAAAATATACGAAAGCATTATGAAATTATATAAATATTTTTTGACAAATCTTTTTGCATGTATTATGCTGCCTTTTTATCCAACTCTCAAACTTCCATCATGGCTTCCAACAGAGGGCGATGAGACAAGGTAGACGTACATCAACCATTATATCCTGCCGCAAACTTAGTCCCTTTCCAGATTCTATTTTAAATAGAAAATCTAAAGTGTTTTTGTCATTTGAATAGAAAAAAATATTGAATAAAGCCTGTCAATACAAGTTCGCATTTTATTTGCCTTAATTCATGGTCTGCATATTAATTTATTGAATGCGGAAGAACACAGACATAACACAGGGAACTCATTTTTGTGTTAAAGGAAGCACAATGTTCCAGTACTCGGGGAAGTATCAATGCTGTTTAAATCCCTACGTAATCTGTGTGTGTTTTATTATTAATTTGGATATTAGGCAATTATAAACAAATAGTCAAGAAAATGAGAACATGTGTAAAGCTTTACGCGTTATGTTTTAAGTGGCAGAATAATTTAGAAAGTGTACAGTGGTCTCAGTAATACATTGCCTGCCATATGCTAGTGTTATAAGAGCTTACACAAACAAAAAAAGTTATCGTTGGCAGTACGAGTATCCTTCTAATTTCCGTCATGAATGGAGCGAATATCGACATATTTAGCATTATAATCACTTGACAAACGAAGCTTCAAACACACCGTTTAAACTTGGTCGAGGGGTGCCCCCTATCTGATCTGCCTGGAGAAAAACGACTGATATTTACTCTGGCTAACAAATTGGACTAATATGCAACAAAAGTGTGGAATGTGGCATGTAGGGAGGGCGGATCTGTGGATTCCATTTCCGCTCGGTGTATCTGGAGTTCCCATGATCTCCCCGTTTTCCCACGTATTCACCCTCGTCCAAAGACGTAGTTTGGGTGGATTGAGGGCTTTAAATTGTGCGTGAGGTAGAATTTTTTTAAATAATAATTTGTTATTATATTGTCTTGTTATGGTGTTGAGAAACTTGTAGAATAGGATCCAGATACAGGTTTTAGTTGCAATAAAGAAACCGTAATTTAAGTTATGGGTCAAAATCCACATTAAGTATAGGGAACAATCCACAGTCAAAAATGAGAATCTAAGATGAGATGTTGACAGTTCCATTATGGAGGATCTGGGTGGTCTGAGAAGGCATGATAGAAATGAAGTTCTTTGTGATATTTTTATTTTTAAACATTCAAAATTGTCCTCACTGGGGCTTCCCACTTGCGTTTGTTCCCCCCTGACTGGTGCAGGATCCAGGTAGGAGTTCATCCTGCTACTGACGCGTGGGACCTCACATGTGAACCAGTGCCAGAATGGGAATGCATGGTCGATGTTCTGCAGCAGGCCATATAAATATCCCTAGGTGGAACGAAGAAATTATGGCTGGTCAGGGCATGATCTCCCAACATCTCCTGTCCATCACTGCATTGGCACTGCAGAGTCGACAGGAATTCCAGTGCGTAGCCCACCAGTTCCAGACTGCTGAGAATGACTGCAAGGTGTACTTCACCATATTGGAGGGATTTGCTGAAAGTGGACATTGAAGGGACCAAAATCCTGGCCCCCTGTCTGACAGAGGCAGCCAACCAAATTGTACAGATTGTTAGTAATCAAAAGGGGGGATTTGGTAAATTTTGCCAAACAGGGGCACTTTGCATTGTGTAGGCAAAAAGGGCAGGTGCTCAGGCAGCCCCCCCCCCCCCCGCCATGTAGATCATGTCATTAAAATTATTAATGTAGGTGGGGTTTCATGTAATTGTTTCCCAGGTGCACCTGTTCTGGATATAAATACACTGCTTCCATCACTAATGGAGATCTGGCCGGTGGATTTATTACACAACTAATGACGCTGTGTTGTACTGTCTTAAAGAATGATGTCAAAATGTGAATGAGCACAGCAAATTAGCTGAATGTTTTGAGTGCCATGTATCAGCTTACCGGTGATGATTTTTAGTTGCCTTTTTGTATTGACGGTATTGATGAAGAACTGGTGTCTTCCAGGCAGTGTTCCTTTTATTGGCAACGTCAACACATTCTGGCTAAGTTCTGTGTTTCTGGTGTCCACACTGTCAGAGCTCTCTTTGTGTTAGGTGAAAATATTACGACCTGTATTTGACTTGAAAATGATAATTCATCCAAAATAGACTGTTACCCTTGTGTTTCAATGGTAATGATCTATTGTGAGACAACCAATACTGTATACTCACTGTATTTATAGAGGAAAACACAGGGAGGAAACTATCAAATTTGAATAATATCACTGTCAATAAGTCCAGTCTGGTAAAAGAATAAAACAATAAACAATCTTAAAAATCTATTTTAAACTATTATAATTCTTACTTGTGATTAAAAGTTAAGCTTCTTTTTTACTCAATGGTGCAACATCCTTCATAGTTACTGATTCACAGACATACAGTTTCCTCCATGCAGTATGTGATGGAAAAAAGACAGTGGTGTAGATACTGCTTTTGATCAGATTAAGCTGCAAAGATATTTCTTTAGCAACTACCGTTGCATAATTGCAATGGTTGATGTTATTGCTAATAACATATTGACCTCAAAGTACAAACCCTTACTTTTTGCCAGAACATCTTTTTATTGGCATCACTAACGATGGGAATATACTTGTAACTGGTCATTTAAATCTCACTGACAATAGCGGTAACAGATGGACTATGGAATTTATACAGTTTTGATGTCCAACGTATTTCTGGGTCAACTCACATGTAGGGCTATACATTAAATTTATTGACCACTTAAGGGCTGTTTGTTAATTTATATAGGATTTTTGACATTGCAGTCTCAGCTCACAACTGTTTATTTTTCAGTATTGTTGTCTCTGTAATACTGGTATTGTTTTCACTAGCACTTTTAGGAAATAGACCTGTTTCACCTTCAACAGTTTGTTACATGGCTAATAATTTTAATTAACTCCAGATTGTGATCCAGACTAACTTTATTTGCACCTGAGAAAGTGAAAAGCCTCAAACTATAGCTATGCTTTGGAAATATGAGCTGTTGCACCTGCTTTAACTGTTCATACTGTGGTAAATTGAACGAGAACAGAAAAACACTAAATTAACTGCATATTGTGAAAACGCACAAGTACAAAAAGGCAACTATCTTTTTTGAAATAATCCTTGAGTGTTACTGCGGCATCTGTCCGCCGAAATTCATTGAGTATTGTTTTTCAATTACAAAAAGATTAATATCCACAATGCTTTAGAATCTTCTGCTGTTTACAGAACAAATTATATACGTACTTTGTCACTTTGTCACAAGACACTAGATATTTTAACAAGGAAAGGATGAAATGGAATATAAAATTGTTCTGCATTTTAGCTTTTCCATCTGTATCCTAGGTCTAGTTTCAACTGCCGTCTTAACCAATAAATTGCTCCCTAGAAACAGGTATAGTTCCAGATAAACTCAAAATAGCTTCATTCAAACCCATGCTGAAGTAACAGAATTTCCTCAGTTTGCGTAACTGCAAACCAGTTTCCATTTTTCCATTCCTAAATAAAATAATAATTTTTGTGACAAATTCCAATCTGGCTTTTGATCAGGCTATACTGAAACTGTATTAGTGAAAATGATACAAATAATGTTTCAGTTTTTCTACTATTGGATTCAAGGTCTGCATTTCATAATATTGCCTACAAAATATTTCTGAGCCATCTCAAAAACTAGACTGGTCCCTCTGGAACTGTATGAAACTGATTAGGTTAATCTATAACTGAAATGCAAGTTTTTGTTATTCTCGGTGAACATATCTCCATAAGTGAACCTGAACTTCCTCAGTTATATGCTGGAAAAATGGCCGACTGCATTCTGACCACAAGCTATGCCCTCTCACCTGTTGGTCCTTGCTTTTAATGGGAGTGCAAAATTAAAGAATTCTTAAGTACATGTAATTGTCCTTGTAAAGTGGGGAATCAAGCATCAACATTGTTATTTTGCTACGCTAAATCTTATTTTGGTGTAGTCAAAAATTTGATATCAAAACCATAGTATCCCCGAGCATCTATTCATCAAATTAAATGTTTCAGATATGCTTCATAATCCCTCCATTACTTCACCATAACATATTCATCTAACAGACTGTCTGAACTTCATTAACTGTATTATAGAATATACCCCTGTTATTCAAATCACGGTCCTCGAGGTCTGAGCCCTGCTGGTTTTCCAGCCCTCCTTTTCCTGTGAGCCGGGTATGAAGCCTCTGGCCAATCAGAATCAGTAATTATTAAACTAACTGCCTGAGAGAACTGAAAACAAGACCTGGATTTGGAATCGAGATCCAGATTTGAAGAGCCCTGGAATATACTATCATATGTTTAATGGCAGCAGCCAAAATTTCCTATCAGTGAATTCTCAATCACTGGGAAAAGACCTTGAAACACAGAATAATGAAATAAAATTCATTTAACTAAATTCATTTTATATATTAGCATACATACAATTCATTATATTGCTACTGTAGGTACACAAAACATTAATTTTGCCTGTATAAGCATGCATGGTGATCCATCTAGGGCTGTATTTCTGATTCACTTCGCGGTTTATGTGTGCCTGTGTTTCATTTTTTCAATTTCAATTCAATAAAATTTTATTTGTGTGGCGCATTTTCACAACATTACATCGTCTCAAATCGCTTTACAACATCTCCAAACAAAGCCCCCAGTACACAAGCCAGAGGTGACAGTTGCAAGGAAAAACTCCCTAGAAGGAAGAAACCTTGGGAGGAACCAGACTCAGAGGGGGAGCCCATCCTCCAGGGGGCGGCAGAGGAAGCCAAATGAGCAAGATGGCAAAGTTCCAATTCACACTGTCCCAATTTTAACATTTAAATCTCAAAGCAGGGGGCAGGCAGGTGATGGCAGGCAATTGCTGGTGCTGCTTCAGATGGCTGGACAAACAGTGGTACGGCAGCGGGGCAGGCAGGGAAGACGTCACGGGCAGGAGGGCGAGCAGGCCGGAAAGACGCCACAGATGTCGGAGGCAGTGGGGTAGGCAGATTATCTTGATAATTTGGGGTCTCCAGGCAGCACAGCCCAGGAGGGGTGGGGGAAATAATAATGTGCAGTTGGCCAAAGTAGGGGAGACTAGAGGCAGTGCGAACAGTTAGCTGAGTGCAGTATGTAAGATCCGGCAGATACGGCTATGGCAGCATAAGTAAGAGGGAGAGGCAGGTGGGAACGCAGGCATGTGGAGTCCCTGAAACGTCAGCACTCTACCTGCAGTCCAGAAACAAGCGTACTGAAATGTTGCATGTATTTCAGGAAGAACAGGAGGAACCAGGAATCTTAGGCTCAGCAGTAGGTCATCTCGGTGAGGAGAATAAAAATGTAGGGTCCTTTGTTCAGGACAACCCTATCTGGACTTCAGTTGCAGCAATAGTGGAGCCAAAAATCAGCATAGGTAGGCTGACAGAAAATCAGGTGGGCTAGTCCCAAAACAATTCACTTGGCGACAAAATTATACTGCAGACTCAGCATTTTTAATCATTTTTTAAATAACCTGTTGCATTGCAAAGACCAAATGAACAAAGAGAAAGAAAAATCTGCTTGCCTCTTAATAGCATATTTCCTCTGATTGATCTAACCACGCTCACGTGTACCTGTCAGGCAAGCGCCATCATTTTAACCCTGAATGGATGGGCCTTAATTTTCACCTGGGTGGCCCCTGGTTGTGGGATGCTTTACTCATAATGTTGAGATTGATGTATGTGCTATGCTTTCACCCCAAAGGTCATTATGGATTTGGCTGACTTTAAAACAGCCCAGGTTCTTGAGTCTAAAAATGATATATTGATGAAAGTGTGAAGAATCTAGGCAGGTATGAGGCTAATATATTTTGACCTTCATCTTCTCCCTCAACTCCTATGCTCTCTACCCATCCATTAATGTGAGCCTTCTGATATTTTGTTACATTATGTGAGTGATATAGTATGTTAGTTCATATCATATATTGTTCGCTGTTTGTGATGGATTCTTACGCTAATAGGAAGCCGATTGTTACTGACCATATCTTGAAAAACTGAATACTGGTCAAACAGTAATTTTTGGTCATTACTTCATTTCTTCATTTTTTCAACAGTTTCTTTTTATCTGCACTTCAATTCCTCAAACTTTTGTTTTTGTTTAACATTATTTTTTTAGCGTGCACAGTTTATGTTTTGACATATCTTAAGCTGATCCAAAGAACTATAAGTTTTACATATTCATATTGTTGTTCAATAGCTACAGTAAATGCATGCAGAACAATTTCAATTGGCTCGCTTCTGGCATGTCTAGAGTATGCTGAGATATTCATCTGACACAGTTCTTGAGTGAAATATATGGTTCAAAAGTTATAACTACAATATTAGAAAAAAAAATTCTATTTATGACCTGTGTGGCCATCACCGAATTGCCAAAATATGAATAATTTATAGTGGCAGTGAATATCATGTTTAATTCTATTTATTGTAATACTTTACTCCACAGCCCTATACTTAATGATTCTACAAATGAACATACAAATTCTACTGGACACACAAATGCTTTGTACTCATTTTTAGAAAATGAAAAAAGTCATACTGAGGGCAGTAGTCAATTTTTAATATATCGGCATGCACTGTTTTCCATTTCTACAGATCAGTTCAAAACACAATATCACAATAATATGAGGGAAATAATCATAATACATCTACAAAGGATTAGTTCGGCCACAAAAAAATCTAGAGTTATATATTTAAAAAAACTACTAAGAAAGTTCCATGATTTCTGTTTCAGTTTAGAAGGAAGTAGAATCTCCCTCGCCTGAGATTTCATTCTCATCCAATTCACTGATGGTAGACAATCCATGGCTTTCAGTTAAAGTCTCCACCAGACTTGGTTCTGTACTATATTGCCCACTGTATATGCTGCGACTGTCTCCATTTTTCTCAGATGACCTGCTAGATCTCCTGGACATTGTCGAATCACTCAGCTCCTCGTCAGATTCTTTTCTCTCTCTGTCAGCATCATCTTCTTCTTCACTAAATGGTTCACCTTCTTCACTTGCTTCCACAATTGTACCCTCTGATTCAGCTGTTGATTTCATGGATCTGTAGCTCCCACTTCTTACTGTTGATGATATTGTCATTGCGCTTTCAGACACACTTCCACTGCTTCCTTCACTAGATATTTCTGAAGTTTTTCTGGTCTGCTTGAGGGAAGAACTGATTGAAGACTGAGCAGAAGATCTCTGAGAACTTGACTGTGAAGTTACTGTACTGGCATTACTGCTCCCCACAGATATCTCTGAAGTGCTCCCTGAAGAGCATGCTGAACCCTTCTGTGATAGTGATGATATTTCTCTGGATACTTCTGATGTCCTGCTCATGTCAGCTTCTGTGGATTCTTTCTCTGATTCAGATTCTTCTTTCTCTGAACTTGATCCTTTCTCTGATTCAGACTCTTCTTTCTCTGAACTTGATCCTTTCTCTGCTTCAGACTCTTCTTTATCTGATTCAGATTCTTTTTCAGAGTCTTTTCCTGTTCCTGACTCTTTTTCAGATTCAGATTCTTCTTCAGATTGAGAGTCAGTTCTTTCGGATTTGTCCTTGCTTTCTTCATCAGAATCTTCAGGTTTTTCTTCCTGTTCCTCTTCTGAATCTACAGTACTTTCATTGTCATCATCTCTGTCTAGGTCAACTTTAAGGTAATCTTTGTCTTCTGAAGTTGGTGCAGTACTACTTGTTTCAGAATGCTCAACATCAGGAGCCCTTTTTCGGCCTCTTTCTGAGGCACTGGCTTCTTGTTCACTTTCATCAGTAACACTGATTGAGATCTTTGTCTTTTTGTCTTCTATTTCAGAATCCGTGGCAGCTTGAGATACTGACCCCTCCCTTTCACTTTCAGCAGAGCTTCTCACACTGCTCTGTGACTGCTTTCGCTCTCGAAGCTTCTTTGCAATGTTGATGCGTTTGAGGACTCTGTTTAGTTTTTTATGTGCTGATGAATATCCCCCACTTTCTTGGCTTTCAGCACGGCTAGCAGATGTTAGCTTAGAATAGCGACTATCTTTCTTACTCTTCGAGAAGATCCATGGGAATATTTTGGCTTTTTTCCATGGGGAGTAACCTGTGACAGGTGCATCACCTTTTTGCTCAGTGATTTTTCTCGCCCTTAACAGTTTACTCAGTTTTGCCACTGACTTTAGGCTTTTGGCAGCTTTGAAGCTGCCAGGTGTTGCAACCAAATCTGATGGCATTGTCTCTTCAATCACTTCATCTGGGGGCTGGTCACTAAATCCAGCTACTGTAGGCAGACTTTCTATTTTCCTCCTGCCTCGTCCCCTGCCTTGGATCTGTAACAGTTACATCATCCCAGATTATAATTGTTTTCATTAAACAGTGTAATCATCATAAATTGCAAATTAATTTATAATTTGTTTTATATAGTATTTCAGGAGAAACTTACCCCTTGTCCATGCCCATGTGGACTGAGATAGTAACCACTATCATCCAAGATCTCTTCCCCATATCCATCATACATTTCAGATGGTGGTATCAATTTTCTCCGACTACCATACTGGGGAATATGGTACCTGAAAAAAATACATAATTGTCAGATGATATGAGCAGAAATACATACATTTCGTAAAAAGCAATACAACTTACAGATTTATATTTGAATTGGTAAAATTGAAAAATATTTTAAAAGATGTTATGCAATGACAGCTATTGATTAATACTCAGCACATATGATTATCTATGGATCAAATCTGATTACGTGAGAAATGTGTTTTCATTTGTTTCCTGCCTTTTAATGTATACATTCCTGAATATAATTTATAAAACATTCAAGTATTAAGTGTCACATGGGGAGATGATGCACAATACCAAGGTGTACAGAACTTACCCCTGATCATAAGAGTAGTAATCCTGAGGGGCCCTGGGCCCCCCTCTGGGCACCAACTGTAATAGCAGGTAAAACATGTGATTCCTCAGCACTTTTATTCAATTACATGTGTGATCATTTTGGATTTCCAAAAAAAAGTCTCAAAAATAGACAATTAAAAATACAAAACTGACAGTCTCAGTACTTTTAAACAATATTTTCCTCCGAAAAATTAAACTTATAAATATATTTTTTCTTTGGTATGTATGATAATGTAAATGAACTGAACACAGTCTTAGAAAATAAATCAGATACAAATGTTTTATATGTATTATTATAGAATAAAACTTACCCCTGGATGTTGCCTGTAAATTAATAGGAAATATCATGAGTAATGTATAGCTACAACTAATATAAATGAATTAATATAAAGCGTATTATAGCAATTATTGTAATACTAATTTTATCTGAAATAAAACTGTCATTCAATTATTCTAAAGGTTTGGGACTTAAAAGGGCTGGAATCTCTCCCAGGCAGCATAGAGTAATTAACTTAACTGCATGTTTGTAGTTTGAATGCATGTTTGACTCTGAGTGGTAACCGGTGTACCCATGAAATACATGGGGAGAACATGCAAACACACACACAGAGTGAAGAAGCGCATTAGAACCACTAATCCTGGAGCTATGAGGTAACAGTGCCTCACTATGACACACCAGAAGTATGTTACGGTTTTAAAATTATAACAATTAGCAATAGGCTGTAAGATTTAAACGCCTCAACATTCCATACATTCATCCATTTTCTGAAACCACATCCTGTTCAGGGTCGCGGGGGGGTCCGGAGCCTATCTGGGAGGCTATAGGTGCAAGACATTATTCTAAAACATAACTGTCCAGCATTCACCTCCTCGATCAACCTTCTAGAAAAGAATGATTTGCTGGGTTATGGAGGGTGCCAGTGTTTTCCGGGATACCTTCCTTTGTCTTTTGTAAGTTTTCAGTTAACAATTGGGTCTAGTAACTGGAACAGGTAGTGGGGCCTACAGATGCTTGCTTCACATAGAAACTGAATGTTATAAACACTTGGCCAGGAGTACAGTAACTGCCACCCGATATACTGTATGTTTGATTATTGGTTAGGTTCTTTTTATTCTTTGACATTCTCCCCTTTCCAGCTCCCATCGGATTGTTCGTATTGTCCCCTTGTAAGTTCCTTTGTAAATTTATTATAGCCAAATTTTGGCTGTCTTTATATGGATTCTTGGCCATTTGTCTGAACCCCTCCTCCCATTATTCTGGGTGGTTATAAATGCAGAAAACCTAGCAAAAGTTAAAATGTAGAATAAATAATACAGCTCTGTACCTTCCCCACTGAGAATGTAACTAATATATATTTACCATCGAAACAAAATGCTCTGAAAAATAAAATATGTAATATGCCTGATTGGCAAGAGCACGACTTTGGAAGTAACGAGGGGTGTGTTCAAGACACCACAAAATAGACCTTGATATGTGAATAACTGTTATAGATTTTCTGCTAAAAGTGGGGGATCTCTTTCCTAGAGATCAGTCTGAATTAACCCTTTACGTTTACAGGATTTAAAGATTTACACACAGTTTCCTTTTCTGGAACCAATGAACTGCCCAGCTCATATTTTGAGCACATCTCTATACACTGCTTGAAAATGCATCGTGCCCCCCCCCCCCTCTGAAAACCCTAATTTTTATATATGAAGAAGGTATGGTGGTGTAAGAATATAAGAGTTTAACAAAGAGTGAGCTCTGTCATGTCCTGCCAGTCATGTCTGCCACACTCTCCTGTTGTCCTCCCCAGCGTGGCCACAACAAGCCACGCCCGAAGCTTGTTAGTCTCACCTCTTGTTCTTGCCCTCCATTTAATTGCTCATAGCTGCCTCCTGTCTGCCCTTTTGTTAGTCTAGTATTTAAATGCTTCCCAGTCCTGTGTGCCATAGTTCTGTCATTGAAGTTGTTCCCTGGTGTTGCTTGTGCTCTCTTCCTTTGTCTGGCCCTATTTTGAGCCCCTTGAGCTTATGCTTATTTTGAGTTTGTTTCTGCTTTGCTTAAGTAAAACCCCATTGCCCCTTCAACACGCTTACCTTCACTCCTTCCCTTCGGCCGGTACATGACAAGCTCCTGATTTTTTTGACTTTTAAATGTTGTCACTATCACAGATTTTGCTGATAAAAATATAATGCAAAATACTTTGTCTCTCATATAAACCGGTACTAGCTGATTGAAAAGTTATCACATGTTATCATGTGAGTAAATTGTCTAGTACCATTTTGGCACCTTTATAGTTTTGTGGCTGGCATGAAGTCAAACATAAAAATGAGCGTAAGAGATCATTTTGAATGATGTAGGCAGGAAGGTCAATTTTTTAATTATCAAAGGGCAAGCCCTGTGTGAAGTTAGAATAACTAACCTTCAAGTTATGAACCTAGCATACATCATGCTGAGTGAGGTCTAGGCATCGCTCCTCCCTCTCAAACGCCTTGGGATGTGAATTCTGGCAAAACATCCTGAGGCCGCATGCAGTAATGCCTATACTCTAAAAGCCTGATGAAGCTGTCTCTCATTATCATTTCATTTCAGAGCACTAGATCTGGAGCAGCTCCCTGCAGGGAATCAGGCGAACCAGTGTTGTAAGAACACTTCTTTACCTTTAATTGAATGCAGTACCATGAGTTACCTAAGACTATTACAATGGTTCATGGAGTAGAGATAAATACCTTGGTTTCAGAGCCATGTTGCTTGTTTCATAGCTTTCCTAGTTTATTTTCTCTAGTATTTGCCTATCTACTCCATTGGTTTTCTCACTTTGATCATTTTGGTGTTTCCTGGTTCCTGATCCCTTGCTTCTTGATCCCAATCCTTTCTTTGTCTTCATCCCTGCACTATTCCACAACTGGCCCCAGCCTTACATGCTCCATCTGAAGGTATCCCTAGACCTCAGAGTCTCAACTGATTTTATATGATGGTTGCAAGAAGAATAACACATCAACAGAGCTGCGTACCTTTTTATCTATATCTATCAAACAATAATGTGAGGTAAATGATTTCATTCATGGAAAATTGCTCGACTGGATAGTTTGATACTTCACTGTCACATTCTCATGCCTCCTATACATTTGAATGTTGGTGAATGAGCATAGAATTTTATAGTCATTTTGCTGTATGTAAACCCAGGACTAGTTGTCACAGATGCAAACTGGAATTTTATAGTTTATATATTATATATTATATATTTATATATTATATATTTATATACAGTTTATATATTATAAGAGAATGTCAAAGTTTGCATTTTCTCCCCATATTTAGCAGGGTTCCTCTGAGCACACTGTGTTCTTCCATCAGTCCAAAGAAATACGGTTAAGTGAGCTACCATATCTCCATACCATGAACATGTTGGTGTGTACCCTGCAATGGACTGCTATCCTGTGCAGAATGTTCTCTTGCTTTTGCTCTAGGCTGCCTGGTGGATCATCTTCATATTAATTTAATGTTAAATATAACATTTATTTTAATGTACCATGTTAATTAATAACAGGACCTGAGCACTGGAATCTACAGAAGACATTTACATTTATTTATTAGACCCGAGTGCTTTTGGAGCAGTTGAGGTTGAGGGCCTTTCTCAAGGGACTAATGGTGATATATGTACTCCGCCAGAAAAATGACTAAATTGTAAGTGATACTTACTTAGGGCCCCCAAGTTGCTCATGAAGATTGCTGGGGGGGGCACTGGCTGACTTGCCTGCTGGCAGCGCCATCTGTATCCGAGCTGTTTTTGCACACTCTGCTTGTCGCCTTTGAGGAATGAAAGACAAATATCTATAATCAGGCATTTTTCTATACAATAAGTGAGAACTTAGAGGAATCACCTTTGCTATTTTACATGATTTACTGCTATCCACTGCCACTGTCTATGAAGGCAACTACTGTTTTTAACTTCCTGTCCAAGTGTCATATAATACTAGAAAGGCGGACAGAAAGGTTTCTCAAAAGAAAATCATAAATAAGGATTAAATTTTACTTACTCTTTGAATCTGATCGGGGTACAAAAAAGAACACAGAAAATATAGTTAGCAGAATTGAAACTGAAGTGTAAGATTCAGTTTGTATTTAAAATAAAATGTTACAGTGAACAGGGAGCTGCTAAGCTAACAATTCATACTGTTTCTCCGTCCTTTTCTCTTCATTCTGGTATTGGTGAAATTACATTATCCATGCATTTCCTTTCAAATTATTCAGTTATTAATTTACTTCCTCTTACATTGCCTATTGTAAAGCCACTGGTCTTAGAGATTCGGAGCAGATATTTTGATGAGCACTGAGTGATGACTTAGAATACGGCCAGGCTGGAATCTGTGTTACTCTTCCTGAATTCTATGTTGATCTATCAGGCCGAGTTTCAGCTCTATGAGTTGTGTGATCCCACTCTAAATGGATCACACACTCCGGTCCCTCTATTAAAAATAAGGATTGCCACCCATGTCTGCCAGTTTAGAGGTACTGTGAAGTACTTACTGATTATAGGTGACCGTGACTATGAGAATTGCAGGAATGCAGCAGAGGAAGATGACGATTGCCAGAGCCAACAGCGCCCCCTCTGTGTAGCCAACTGCCTGTGCTGCCTTCTTCACACTAGCCAGAATGTCAGGACTGCGTATTTCAATTATGCGGCCGTCTTCGCCCAAGTAAGGTTCAGAGTCCTTGTTAATATCCAGAAGCTTTCCATCAAGAAGCCTGTGACAGAGGTTCACACATGACCACTGCAAACATTGGATACATTGACATACACTATATGGACAAAAGTATTGGGACACACCTCTTAATCGTTGAATTTAGGTGGTTCATTCAGACCCATTGCCATAGGTGTATAAAATCAAGCAGCCAGCCATGCAGTCAGGTTTACTAACATTTGTGAAAGAACGGGTTGTTCTGAAGAGCTCAGCGAATTGTGTAGTACTGTCATAGGGGTCAGTTTGTGAAATTTCTTCGCTGCTAGATATTCCACGGTCAACTGAAAGTAATATTATTGCAAAGTGGAAGCATTTAGGAACAACAGGAACTCAGCCACAAAGTGACAGACCATGGAAAGTAACAGAGCGGGTTCACTGAGTACTGGGGTGCAGAGTGTAAAAGTCACGAACACTCTGTTGACTCAATAGCTGCAGAGTTCCAAACTTCCTCTGGCATTAATTCCAGCACAATAACTGTGAGCCGGGAGCTTCATGGAATGGGCTTCCATGGCTGAGCAGATGCATGCAAGCCTCACAGCACCAAGCGCAATGCCAAGCGTTCGGATGGAAGCGCCTCTGAAGCAGGGGTGAAGAATGGAGTGACCAATCATGCTTCTCCTTCTAGCAGTTTGATGGGTGTGTCTGGGTTTGGCGGATGCCAGGAGAACGTTACCCACCTGACTGGAATGTGCCAACTGTAAAGGTAATGGTAATGGTATGGGTTTTTTTTTCCAGGGGTTGGGCTAAGCTGCTTAGTTCCAGTGAAGGGAACTCTTAATGATTCAGCATACCAAGACATTTTGGACAATTCTGTGCTTCCAACTTTGTGGGAACAGTTTGGGGAAGAACCTTTTCTGTTCCAGTATGACTGTGCCCCTATGCACAAAACAAGGTCCATAAAGACATGGCTGAGTGAGTTTGGCATGGAAGAACTTGTCTGGCCTTCACAGAGCCCTTACCTCAACCCCATTGAACACCGTTCGGATGAACTGGAATGGACATTGTAGGCCAGGCTTTCACGTTCACCATCAGTGCCTGACCTCACAAATGTTCTTCTGAATGAATTGGCAAAATTCACACAGACATACTCCAAAATCTTGTTGAGAGTCTTCCCAGAAGAGTGGCAGCTGTTATAGCTGCAAAGGGTGACCAACAACTCCATATTGATTTAGAAGATCCTATAGGTGTAATGGCCAGGTGTCCCAATACTTTTTACATATAATGTAGCTCTTGTAATTGTAATGGGAGAGATCATTGAATAGCAAATGTAAACCATGGAAATAATGTGTTTTCCTTCACTAAGTTAGACATTTTCAATCTAAAACGTCACTGGACTTACCCTGTATCACCCAAATGACAAATGAGTTGCATTGTATCAGTACTACATAAGACGTAAAATGGTTCACTTCATTTTTTGACTACAAAAACATGGATTAACCACAGCTCATTCATCACTTTTTAGCAGAAATATTTTAGAACAACAACAAAATGATGTTCTGACACACCGCTATGGCAAAGTTGAACAGTTAATTCTTCATGACATACATCAATACAATCATTTTAGCAATCAACGATTGTGTAGATACTGCGACACTCTACTGGATAAGCAATGTAAAGATGGATGAATCTTTCTACAGCTGATAAATCATAACAAATTTCTTGCTATTCTGGGCAGATTCAAGTAGAGCAAGACAGCAAGAAAATCTGATAGCTCACTTAAAAAGCTCCTGTCGAGGAATGGCTCTGTTTGTTAAAGGATCAATGGCATACACCATCAGGTCAGATTTTGTGTATTCTTCTTGGTCAAATCCATCTCCAAATCGTCGCGGTCCAATGGATTCCACAATTATTTTTGCCCCTGGATACTGGTCTTGAATATAGCTCTCTAAGATCCTGTATTGCAGAAATACAATGCAGAATTGCTTTAAAATGCTGTTGTATTATTTATCTATAGTGAAACTAATGGAATAAAATCTATTCTTCTAGTGGGATCTTCAGTTTTCAATGATTCCATTTCAACAAGGAGTACTGCCAAAGAGTATTATTTATTTTTTAAACAGATAGCCATAACAAATATTGCTTATAAACTAAATTAATATCTGTATGAACCATCCCTCTGATCCAACTAGATTTGGTAGCTAATCTTGTCCCAGAGTTATGGTTGTTATTATGAGATACAGAGCCATAATAACAAGAAAGTTTCTCATAATTATCACTTCCGATTTTGCAATAACAAGAAAGTCTCTCATAATTTTGACCCACTATCTTATAATAATGAGAAAGATTCTCATAATATCGAGAATGTTTTTCATAATTATATTTACTATTTTGCAATAAGAAGAAAGTTTCTCATAATCATAACTTAGTATCTTGCTGAAAAAGGCTTCCATAGTAATATCTTTATTCTTACCCTGTGAGTTGCTCTATATTCTCTTCCACTATAGTTGGTGGCACATTGGATACTACCACTTGCATATCCAGTTGATTAACTACTGATATCTAGAAAAAAGAAAGAATGATACAAAAAGCACTGAATTAGTTTAAAGTTGTATGTAGTTAGCGTAATCCAGGATCAAATGCTGAAAGGCTATACAATAGTGTGGAGGTATGAAAAAAATGTATTGGACAGCTTTTATTTATGAAGTTTTTACATTGTTTTAGTTGTACAGAATACTACAGCATTTGTTTGTGAAACAAATGGTGGTCTGAGTTAGAATGACAAGCCCCACCGTTTATGTGTAACTGTGTCACTCAGTTGTATATAGATTATAAAGCAAGTTAGCTGCATATGTTAAATGGAAGGAGACAAGGTGCATTGCTCTTGTGGTGCTATGATTCTTCAAATTTAACAGTAAAACAGTTGTTGTGTATGTTGCTCAGCTCAACTGCCCAATTCATTCCAAAGGTGATTACAGTCCAATCCGATCTTTTGTTTAGTTCCCATCCACAAATACATGAGCAGACAAAATGGTCAAACCAGGAGTCCTTCTTGCAGCTCTTTATTTCCGGTTGACACATTGTAGTATGTTCAGTAACAGGACGTAATACTAACAAGCTACCAATATGCAAATGGTTCAAACACAACCGCTGTCTCTGCACACACCACCTGTACGAGAGGGACTGTTATATGTCCACTGGTTGTACAGCCTGGTTACTACTCATTATAACGAATTCTATAAGATCAGTTATATCGGTTGTACACACCAAAATTTCTGAGCTCGCACTCAAACCTTTCCCATAGTCGTCTGTTGCAATGACTTTAAATCTAAAGTAAGAGCCGCGCATGTTTTTATACGTTATCGCCGTTTTAATGATTCCTGTATATTGCTCAATCACAAAGGCATCTTGACCATCTTTAGGTGGTGGCATAATTAATCTGTATTCATTTGCGCTGTAATTCCCACTGTCCTTGTCTGTGGCCTGTAAGAAAAACAAATGAAGCAAAAATATCTTTAAATGACACAATCAGGTTACATTTAGAACTGCATACATTTTAGTGTTGTAATCAACTGACACAAGTAGCAGAAAGGCTGTAGTTGTAAATTAAAAAAAAACTGCACTACTTCTATATCCAATAGAAGCAGTGGTGGCTTGATGGTTAGGGTAGCGCACTTGTAATTGAAAGATTGCAGGTTCAAATCCCCCACCAGCAAGTCACCACTGAGGTACCCTGAGCAAGGTACCGTCCCCAAGTACTGCGCCCCGGGCGCTGAATTAGCTGCCCCCTGCTATGTCATGAAAGTCACATATGGGTCAAATGCAGAGGTCACAGTTCGTTGTTGCGCACTGTATGCTGTGGTGTGTTGACATTGATCACTAAATTCTAATTCTAATCACAGATACGGAATGATTTATTTGTCTCTGATTAGAATGATGTGATTTAAGACACCATAACAAGCAGAAATATCCTAGAAATGGCTGAAACTAGGGTAATATTTATATATTGGTTAGACAGAAGGTTGTACAGATCTCATGGGAAACTGAATCATAACGCTGCTTTGTGTGTGTGTGTGTGGCATCTAATTCAAGGTGTACCCAAGATCATTAACAGTTTTACTACAAGTATGATAAAAAGATAAGACAAATAATTTTCTTACTTTGATTTGTAGTACAGTTGTAAATGTCTTTGTGTCCTCAGTTACTCCACCTATGTAGAGCTTTTTTGTAAAAACAGGAGGGTGATCATTTTCATCCAGGATATATATAAACACCTTCGCTTTATTACCTGTTGAAAATATACAAAGGCTTAAATGTTTTTTGCATGAACCTACATAAAACACATACAAGATGTGAGTAAGAATGTGCTAATAAATTGTAATCTGACTTTGTGTTATTTGTTTATGCTGCCAGTATAAATTTCCGGCAATTCAAAGTTTTCATGATATGCAACAATGTCGTGACAGCTTACTTTTTGAAGGAGCATGGAGATTTGACATTATCATAGCCAAGGAGTCTGCCTGCACATGAAGGACGTAACTGTCGATGGCCTCATAATCTAATAGTTTGGCTGTGAAGATGACACCTGTTTTGTTATTTAACTTAAATACACCTAAAAAAAAACAAAAAATGATGTTACGCTGACAAAAAGAGAAAAGTAGCCTAGATTTTTAATTAGTCAAAATTTAAATAGAAATGTGTAACGTCTTGGAATAGCCAAGTAAAACTCCCTAATCACGTGCTTCTAATCATCAAACCACCCAGCCTTTCTCTTATCATTCTTGACATTTTGTTACATGTTTTATTAACTACTTGCAAAATATTGGTGCTTAAGGAGCTATGAAAATTCATGATTTGTCTTCTGCTTTTTTGTTTCTATGAAAATATTTAAATAATTAATAAATTAATTCCAATCCAAATGACGGATTCTGTAATGACTGGATTCTGTTATGTAACTCGTGGCTGCCCTGCAGAGCAAACATGCAAACTAGCGTCACTTATTCAAATAACATTTACATTTTCAACACAATTCTGTGTATGTACTGTATGTATGTATGTTCATTTTCTGTCTTTGTAGGTCGTAGCAGTAAACTGTCATGAAATACTTTCATTTTTCATTTGCATCACAGATAACTATTGTTCTAATATATAATATGCACCAAATGCTTATTTTTGAAAACTATAAATTAAAAAAAATTAAATTAAACATTAGTTTACAGGTGCTCCATCATCCCAGAGTTGTTGAACTACACTATATTCAACTAACAGGCTAACAGAACTTACCTGCTTCGTTACCCCCTATAATAGAGTAGATTATCGTCTGGTCAATGGCAGCAGCCAAAATGACCCCAACCACTTTTCCTATAGGTGAATTCTCACTCATGGGGGGAAATCTTGAAACAACAATAATAAAATAAAAGGCATTTGAATTAATTTCAGATTACCATATCAGTAAATATGAATAAAATTCATAACAACAGGAGAGAATGCAAAAACCACAGAGAGACACACAATCAGGGCTGGGAATCAAACCCAGAACACTTAACGACTCCCCATGCTTTTGCAGGTTTTATGCATTTATTGAGTGGGTTAATTTTTTCCTTGCTTTATAAAGCCTAGACTTGACATTTTGGTCCTTGAATCATGTGATTGGTCAGAATAAATTTGTTGTTGTATGTAAAAAAAAAAAAACAACAAATAAGGCAGATTTTTACATATGTCTTTTGTATAAACAGAACAGTAATTTTTTTGCTGTTTTCCTCCTCAACCTTGTCTTATTATTAGAATAAGTATGACAGATTTTATGAATTCTTACTGAAATGCATTAGCAAACAGCAAATTGCGTTGTAGGTTTAATCACACTGAACATCTATTGATTAAGAAATCAATTAAGTTTACATTCTTACTCGTATTCCTCCTGGGTGAAAACTGGGATTATTGAAGGTTGAAGAATGGTTATTTCAACAATGGAAGTGTTCTGCTTCATTGGGTCCCCATCATCATAAGCAATGACAAATATCTGTCAAAACAAAAATACATATTTGTAGACCTGAAAAAACATAAAATAGAATTTCTTAATACAGCAGTCAGATTTACCTGAAAGACTGCATTAGGTCGCTCATTGAGGTTGACTTTTGTGATTACCCTTCCAGACTCTTCCTCCACAGCAAAGAGGCTGCCACTGTAGCCAGAACGCTCCAAGTCTACTCTATATCGGACCCTGCTGGCCGCAGTGCCCTGTAAAGGGAAGTTAATCCATCAGGTTTGAACAGATATTTGATATTTACTTACCAGGTTTATACAATTTGCATTTATTATTTGGGAATCTTTTACTAAGACATAATTTGTTAATAATTTAATACTTTAAGTAAAAAAGTAAAAAATGCTTGGTTTGGCATAATAGATGCTTCTACATATTAGCAAAATAAGTGGATTAGTTTTACCCAATGGAATATGAGTACACTTTCCACAAAATATTTTCAGTCATTTTAGCAAGGTACTTTAACTGGCATTTTGAAAATTACTTATTTACAAATAAAAGTAAAACCCCTCTGTTACAATATTCAATTGTAACAGTGAATTTAATTCTAATACCTCAAGTAATATATCCTTTGTGCTTTGGTGCCAACCAAATTGATTTAGCAACAATTTAATTTCGGAGTACTTTGAAAAATTTGATTCAACTGAATTGGATGTTGGATTGTGGACTTTGAGGTATGTTGAGGATCATTATCCTGTTGCAGAAGCCATCTTCTTTTCATCTTCAGCTTTTTTACCTACTGTGTGGTGTTTGCTTCCAGAATTTGCTGGAATTTAATTGATTCTTCCGTTTTCCAGTGAAATGTGCCCTGTGCCCCTGGCTGCCACACAAGCCCAAAATGGACTTGTTTCCAAAATGCATCAGGCTAGTTTAGATGTTCATTTGCAAACTTCTGACGCTGAATTTCATGGTGGCGACGCAGGAAAGCTGCTCATGAAGGTCATATTTGTGCATTTGTCACTGCACAGTAACAGTGCCCCCCCCCCACTCCAGTGTCTGCTTAATCTTCCTGAAGGTCTTTTACAGTCAAACAGGGGTTTTCATTTGCCTTTCTAGCAATTGTACGAGCAGGTCTCTTGGAAAGTTTTCTTGGTCTTCCCGGCCTCAACTGGATTGTTCATGTTAACTGGCATTTCTTCATTACATTACAAACTGAGGATATGGCTACTTGAAAATGCTTTGCTATTTTCAAGTAGCCTTCTTCTGCTTTGCAAGCATCAGTTATTTTAATTTTCAGAGTGCTAAGCAGCTGCTTAAAGGATTGTTGGGACTAGATCTGAGGAGCAAGAGTATTTATAAAGCTTTGAAACTTGCATCATCTGGCCATTCCTAATGATGATTGTGACAATCCATAGCCCTAATGAGCTAATTAAGGTCTGAGACCTTGTCTGACAGCTCAATTTCTTTGGGTTGCCCAAACGTTTATATTCTATATATATTTATATTATAATCTTGTTTAAAATGTTGAAAAGAATGTTTCATATTTAACTTTATGATTTTTAGAGGTCAGTTCATCTTCTAACAGTAACAGAAAGTTTGACCAGGGATGCCCAAACCTTCAAAAGCCTATACCGTCTGTGTATAATGTGTCATTTCTCATAACCTCCTCTGGGTCCCTTGTACTGACCGGGCCCTAGGCAGCTAGCCTATGCCTGAATCCGGCCCTGTATATAATAATTACCATACTTAAATGTGAATGGAAAGATATATTTAGCCATAGTAATGAACCTAATATCAATATTAATTTTTAGAGCCTAACTAATAATTATTGTTTTATTAATCATTTTGGTAGAAAATAAAAGGTCTTATTTCAACTCACAGGAGGGTCTTCATCTTCTGCAAAGACTGTGGTGACATACGTTCCCGTTTCTGCTGTTGGGGACACCATCACACGATACAAAGCCTGGCTGAACACCGGCGCGTAATCATTCAAATCCTAAAATGCACAATTCACAACTATGGTAAGATATGCTGCTGAGGTAAACTGGATTATACAGTTTTTTGCTATAGTATATGCTTTTCAAAACATATTTATACTGTCTGATAAAGTGCTACTGATGCCATTGGGAAAGAATTTAATAAAAATGATACATTTAACTAATCATAATTATCAATAACAGTTAAGACAGGATACAGTTCATTTGATCACGTGACAGTCTGTACAGCAACACAGTATGTTCTGTCCAATGTACCAAAGTGCATTGGGGAGGATGAGATGGTCCAATCGATTGGCAGTTGATTTCAATTGGCCAAGTTTCATTCTTAATTACTTGATTGGCAGAATTTAATTTGAATGATCTCAAATAAAAATGTTGCAGATTATGTAGAACAGGGGTCTCCAACTCCGGTCCTGGAGAGCTACTATCTAGTAAGTTTTCTGTCCTACTTGGCTTCTGATGAGCCACACCTGCTCCTGGTATTTACCTGAGAACAGGTGTGGCTCATCAGAAGAATAGAAAACCTACTGGATGTTAGTTCTCCAGGACCGGAGTTGGAGACCCCTGATGTAGAAAATGTGGATTGATGACTTAAAATATGCAAAATAAGTTTCAAACACAGCAGTCATCTTCAGTCTGGCAGTTTTACCAGATATCTATTATAACCCTAACTCCTGTAATGTGGAAGGGAAGGGTCTGAATTTCTTAGCAAAGAAACTACCTTTGCATCTTGGAAAAGCATAGGTCTGTCACCAAAAGCCGAATTGGCTGCTGTCTTTTTATGAAAGAAGCCATCAATGCAAACTGGAACAACATCACTGCAACACCACCTTGAAAAGCAGCTTTACCCTAGAATTTTCAAACCCATGACTATCATGTGATCTGCACAGACATTTTTGAATTTTGAATAAAATATTTAATTGCTATCAATAAAGTAAATAAATAAGGATAGAAGGTGTTCTTACTGTTATTTTGACCGTGACAGTACACAGTCCAGGTGGCATCTTCCCTTTGTGGTTCAAAGCCTCCACAACAAAAGTGTATGTACTTCCAGATACAGAAAGCTTCTCAAAATCTAGTACTTGCTGAACTGACAGGTGACCTGTCACTGGATTAATGTCAAAGAGCTGTCTAGCCTCATCTGTTTTAATGTGGTATGTGATGTTGGAGTCAAGGTCAGCATCTTCAGCCTGGATGTATAAAACAGCATCAAGATACAGCTATGTGTTTATAACAACTGAACACATGAATAACTAAACTCTGATCCATCTACGGGTGGATTGTTAAAACTGTAATTTTACATTGAAATGTAACAATTTTTAAAGGAATTTCTTAATTATTATGCTTTTTAGATGCAATTTCCATGCAACAGGTAATGAAGTCTTTAAATTTGATTAAATGTTTTTCTCAAATTAAGGTGAAATATATTGGAATACAAGAACAATTGGAAAGCGTACACTGAGCTGCAGGAAGACTGTCCCCACAGGACTGTTCTCTGGAAGGTTTACAACGTAAGATGTTTGCGAGAACACAGGACTATTATCATCTATGTCCAGGATTTCAACAGATAGTGTGGTGGTTGTCCGGCGAGGATCTGATGCACCGTCGGAAGCCTCCACAATCATGTCGTATTGACTCCTGATCTCACGGTCCAGGGGAATTGAGGTGAAGATGCTACCATTGCTATTGATTCTGAAGAAGCCAGCAGGGTGAACAACTCTGTAGCTGATCTGTCCATTGACCCCTAAATCTTTATCGGTGGCCTGTAACAACATATTCATTAGCCATTTGGTTAAGAAAAGGAAGAAATTAAGGCAATATAATTGCTATGAACATCATCTATGAATAGATCTAAATACACTATGTAGACAAAAGTATTAGGACACCTGGCCATCACACCCACAGGAACTTTTGACATCCCATTATAAATCTCTAAGCATCAATATGGAACTGGTCCCGAAGGTGTTCAATGGGGTTGAGGTCAGGGCTCTGTGCGTAGCAGTCAATTTCTTCCATGCCAAACTCACTCGACCATGTCTTTAGTACGTGTGCATGTCTACAAGGGGGCAGGTTTGGGGTAGATGTAGATAGAATTCTTTATTGTCATTATGCATACACATAACAATTTTATTTTATTTTTCTTTTTTGAAGCTGAGTCCTACCAATAAAAATTTTGTTATGTGTATGCATAATGACAATAAAGAATTCTATTCTTCTATTCTTATGGACCTTACTTTTTGCACTGAGGCACAGCCATGCTGGAACAGCAAAGGGCCTTCCCCAAACTGTTCCCACAAAGCTGGAAGCATAAAATTGTCCAAAATGTCTTGGCATGCTGAAACATTAAGAGTTCCCTTCACTGGAACTAATAGGCCTAGTCCGACCCCTGAGAAACTTTACAGTTAGTACAATGCATTCAGACAGGTAAAATACTCCTTGCATTCACCAAACCCAGACTCATCCATGAAACTGCCAAACAAAGAAGGGTGGTTTGTCGCTCCATAGAACACGTTTCCACTGCTCCAGAGTCCAGAGGTGGCTTGTTTTCCAGCACATCATCCAACACTTGGCATTGCACTAGGTCATGTAAGGCTTGCATGCAGCTGCTTGGACATGAAAGCTCATTCCGTGAAGCTCCGTGTGCACAGTTTTTGTGCTGCGGTTAATGCCAAGGGTAGTTTGGAACTCAGTTATTGAATCAAGAGACTGTTGGCGAATTTTACACACTATGCATCTCGGCACTTGCAACCCTGCTGTGTTACGCTACGTCGTCTATCGCTTCATGGCTGAGTTTCTGTTGTTCCCAAACGCTTTCACTTTCGCTTTCACACCGTGGAATATGTTGCAGGTAAGAAATTTCACAAGTTGACTTATTGCAAAGGTGACATCCTATGACAGCACCACGCTTGAATTGACTGAGCTCTTCAGAGCGACCCATTCTTTTAAAATATTTGTACACCTGACCTGCATGGCTAGGCGCTTGATTTTATACACCTGCGGCAATGAATGAATCACCCGAATTCAATGATTAAGAGGCGTGTCCCAATACTTTTTTCCATATGGTGTATATACATATAGACATTTCAATTCTGAAATTAAAAACACTCAAACCATATTTAATTTCCCATGCTGATTTAGGTATGTCTGCCCTCTTGGTAGCTTGACAAATTAAACGAGTCAGGCAAAAATACTAACCCAAATATGAAGTACAATAAACAATGTTAAGCGACATTGATCATTGATGAATGAAATGCAATTTCTTTGTGCAGTATATGCAAAATTGTTACGTCCATAATTGTGAAACTGCATGTATAAGTGGCTATTCTTCAAAAAATACAAATTGAGCAACTGCGATCACATTTCATTCATCTGTTTCCAAGCCTTTATCCTGGGTGGGGTCAAAGCAGTGGGCTCAACAGGGCAATTTTGATACGTTAATTTGCCTAAGTGTATGCCTTTGGACTGCCATGGGAAATGTGTGAGGCACCAAAGAACCTGGAAATGCACACAGAGTAGGGCAGGTTCAAACGTCCATCCCTGGAAGGTGCAGGCACTGAGCCAATCTAGTTCAGAAACTTTATGACCATACCTTTACCTGACCCACAAAGGCATTTCCATCTTCCTCTTGGACAGTAAAGTTTTTTGGCAGAAGTGGATCAAAAACTGGGTCATTATCATTCACATCAGTAATCACTATGGTCACAGTTGCTGTTGAAATCTAAGACAAAACATCAAAGAATTTACAGTTAAGTATAACCCATGTGTGGAAGACAAAAAACACTTTGAAAATCAAAGGTCCCCATGTGATCATGGATTTGGTGTGTGGTCTTTTACTAGAGCAGGTGCTTATCATTGAAGTTGACTAATGACTGTTAAATGGGAGAGGAATGATTATATTATGAAAGGTGATTGACATTGTAAGTTGTGTCATCTCACCCGAGAGTATGTGTTTGAGTGAAGAGAGCGGGTAGAGCCATAATTCAATCACTACTCAATGACAAAGTAGAGTTAATCACTTAGGGTGGAGGGCAGGGTGTTGTAGACAAACACTCAGAATTTGCTGATGCTTCCATGTCAGATAGCTCCTCCCAGTGTTTATAATGTTCATTTTTATAATTCAATCACCTGAATTCAGTTAATTTACTTTTGCCTCAAAACAAATGTCAAGACTACTATTTCAATTTGTTTTAATGACATCTTCATAATTCAATATGCAATATTCAGTCCTTTTATTTTCGCTTTACAAATACACTGCCAAAATTTCAGTGGTTTAACATATGGACTGAAATTCAACCTTCTACATCTGGGACTAGCAGGATGAGCAGTTGAGTGCCGATAGAGTTCTTGTCTAGAGCCAGAGTCTATAATGAGCATGCAATAAGTATAAGGTCTGTCACACCGGTGACTAGAACGGTAGATTTCCTTTTGTCATCGCAGACATGAGTGTCCCAAAGTCGGCTACTGTCCTCTCTCGTCCATCTAGCTAGTCATAAAACTTGCCGGTACTGATTAACGGAATGATGTTACATGTGGAAAATGAAAGATCAATCTGATGTGAGTTCCTTGTGGTAGACAAATAGACAAAAATCTTAACTCTTCGTTCCCCATATGAATACATATGTATGCATCATTTTTGAATTTTTTAACCTTCATTTCAGTCAATTTCAGTTCAGTAATGATGAAACCAAAGTTTTGAATTGAACTTGGAAAAAACAATCATTGAATGAAAGAAAAAGAGGGACTTGCAGCCTTACTCCATTTGGATGCCCATCGGAAGCAGTAACAGTCAGGATGTACTGATCTGTGGTTTCCCTGTCAAGAGGTTTTTCCAAGAATAGCAAACCTAAACTGTAACAAGAATACAAAAAATACACAATATTAACACCAATTATTCCTATTACTAATAAATGTAAAATCTCTAGATAGAATCTATTAATACACTTGTTAAATATCATATGCACTTTGATTATTATTCTTAATCTATGTTTTGTGTAATATTAAAGTAAAATTGTGATCTCAACATCGGGCACTGATGTTGGATGTGAAGACCTGGCTCGCAATATTCATTCTAGTTCATCCCAAAGGTATTTGTTGGGGTTGAGGTCTGGGGTCTGTGCAGGCCAGTCAAGTTCTTCCACACCAAATTGACCCAACTATGTCTTTATGAACCGTGCTTTGTGCACTGGGGCACAGATGCTGGAACAGCAGAGGGTCTTCTCCAAACGGTTCCCACAAAGTTGGAAGCATAGAATCGTTCAAAGTGTCTTGAAATGCATGCCAAGACATTTTGGACAATTCTATGCTTCCAACTTTGTGGGAACAGTTTGGTGTGGAAGGTGTAGAAGAACTTGCCCTTCACATCGAATATCAGTGACCTCACAAATGCTCTTCTGGATGAATGGGCAAAAAAATCTCTCCAACATCTTGTGGAAAGCTGCAAACTACACAGACACACACACACACACACACACGCACACACACACATTTCATATTCATACACTGACACTGGCTAGAATAGTTGCCACTCCTTTACACCTTTGGTTGCAGGGCCAGAAATATGTGGTCTACATTAGGTTCTCCAGATACATATGTTGATAATACAACACAATAGAGAGAAAAAGTTAGATTCATATGAGGTTATATATTACAAAAATTTTAGCTGAGGACAGGCTGACCAAAGAGTTTTATGTTTTACAAAATAGGTATATATTATCTTAGATACTTTTCCAATACAAAAATGGTATTCCTGGCAGGATCATAGGGAACTAAAAATGTATATAAAACTAATAAACTTACTTTCTTGAAAGGTTAAATACATTCTGGGGATCTCCACTTATAAGACGGTAGGTAATTGGGTCCTTTTCACGATCTGTTGCCTAAAACAACAAAGCAGATTTACAAGCATTCAGATTCTAATTGTTTGTATAATTTTCTTTTACAGTACTATACAAAAATCTTAGGCAGTCAAAGAAAATGTTACAGGCTGTTTATTTGAGTAGTAACACAATAAAAATACATAAGAATTTCTTTTCTCCAAAAAGTTCCTGATATGTTGTTGGATAGCTACAGGAACACCACTTCTGAACACTTCTGGTACTGAAACCTCTCCAGAGGGGAACTTCAGCCATTCCATATATTTGTTAAGTTTCACCACCAGTTCAATCAATCAATCAATCAATCAATCAATCAATCAATCAATCAATCAACATTATTAGTAAAAATAAATTCAAATAAACATTTCATGAAAAAAAAAAAATTACATCAAATGAAAATGCATAATAATTTTTTTACCTCCCTCCAAGCATTCAAGTTTAAATACTTCAGGTTTCACTAGTTTAGTAATATAGATAATCCTTACCTGCAGATTAAGCAGAACCGCTCCAATCCTCATAGCTTCACTGACCTCAAGGCTATATACAGAGAGCAGAAAGACTGGTGAACTCTGATTGTTGGGTGGAAGAACTTCAAGGTACACTGTGGTGATAGAGCTCCTGCAATTACAGAAGAATTTTAACACATAGTACTACAGAGCCCCTGTACGGAAAACTATACGAAAAAATACAACGTTCTTACGCAAATAAAATGCTCTTACGCAAAATAAATTGCTTTACGCACAATTTTCTTGTGCGCACGACTTACTTTCGACGACGCAACTATCTTTTGTGCGCGAATGAAAGTAAGAGCATTTAATTTTTTTGCACAGGGGCTCAGCATAATACAAAAGTTGTGGTAGTTTTTTTATAGACATTATTGTTATTGCTAGTTTATTTATTAAAATTATATTATTCTGTTCCCTAATATTGCAGTTAAAAATATCTTGCGCAGTTTGATGTAATTCATCTAAGTTTGAAGGTGTCTGAAAGTGAACAGTATCTAGTATATCAACACATCTGTTTCACACTGGAATTACCTTTTTTGCAGGACAGGTGCATTGTCTGATGCTCTCACAGTCAGGGCATAGGAATGGCCCACAGTAAGTCTGGCTTCACGTGCCACATGGATCAATCCTGAATAGTTATTGATGGTGAAGTGTCCCTGACTGCCAGCTATGATCTCGTAAGTTATCAGTCCATTAAGACCTTCATCTATATCACGAGCTGTTACCTAACAGTAAAATAAAGTTGGAAAAAAAATGTATTCTTATTGACACTATAACATTATCTATTTATCTATTGATCATCTATGTTATCTGTTTATCTATTGATCATCTACGTTGATATCAAATGAAACATCTCAGGATTTTATAATGTAAACCAACCCCTTAAACTGTTATTCTCTATATCAAATAATAGTTAACAGATTTTTCTAGCATCATGATTAATACCACAACTGAAATATACTGTAAGACTTGAGATATTGTGTATTAGATTTAAAGAGTTTAATTTATATAAATATCTATTAACTGGTGCAATGCATGTCAATATAAAAAAGGCTTCAGTGAAAAATCCTCTTATCTTTATACCCATCATGAAATTATTCATCCACATTTTAATTGCATAAAGAAGAATGTTTCAAGGGGAAAAAAGTATTTAAATAATTTAAATCCAAATTTTAAATAAAATGCAATAAGGTAATATAAGCATTACTGAAGACAAGAAAATATGGTACAGGAAAATTTTACAATTATTACCTGCAATACTGGATCTCCAGGCTGCATGTTACTATAAACATTTGCACTGTAGGAGATGCTTGTAAAAGTTGGAGTATTATCATTGGCGTCAATCACTATGATGTTAACTGTGACTTCTGGACTTTCCATAACTGCATCAGAGGCCACCATCTTTTTAGGAGAAATTCACATTACATGAGGCATTTGATGGTTTTAAATTCATCATTCATGGCTTTTTACTTGTCTAAATGTTTTTGTCTTCCTTCCATCTCACGTTCATTTTTATTCAGTTCACAAATACAGTCAACCCTTTTGCATCATGACTTTCCCCATTGCGGTTCCGATATATATAGCAGGGTTGGCAGAAGAAATTGAATGATTTTTTGGGGAGTTTTCTGAAAGCCGCAGATGAGATGCGCAGGCTACCAGATGACAAAGGAAAAGTCTAGTAACTCAGACGCCATCAGCTCTGTCGCAATGGTCGAAGCCACGGACTCAGCCATTCCCACACTCGCAGTCCTGAGCGAAGACAGGACTGACAAACCGCAAGCAACCCTGCCACAGTACCCCCAAGATCTGCAGCCCCAAGCAGACTCTGAAGTTTACTGATGTGAGGACCCTCAGGAAACCCAGAGTAATGATGAGCCCATCCATATATATGAATCCCAGCATGTACATAAGCCAGAAAGCCTAGATAGCTAGTTGCTGGGTTCATTGGGGCATCTGCTTTGCCTCCTTACTAGTAGGGTCCAAGTTCCAGGTCGCCTTGTGCCCACTTTACTTGATTCTAGAAGTTTCATCGTACCACTTCTGTTAAGATGAGACTGGTGTGTGGTTTAGGTATCCTGCAGTCAGTCTCTGCAGTGTTCTTCTGGAAAGCTGAGACCCCCTCTACTGGTGATGTCACAGTGCTGCCTCTGGGGTTAGTATTCCATTGCCACTCTAGCCGAGTGACAGGTGGTCTCATTTTCCCTTCAACAAATGCCCAAAATTTCAGTATCCCTGACCCAACCGTGCCCGTAATGCCACACTCCTGGAGAACACTAATTACTCTAGGCGGCTATTCTTTCCAAATAGTATGCAGCAGAGGAGAAGGGTAGCTTGGCAGAACAACAAACGGAAAACTAATTCCTAGACCCTGGCCATAAGCCCAACAAGCATTAACTAGAAAAAAAATCATCAAAGTGTTTGTCTTCTGGCTGGATAGCTGCAGACTGAGGTCCACCAGTTTTGCACCTCAGTCTACCACCTCCAGATAGATGGCCTCATGGGACAATTCAACAAGAACGTCAACAGTAGCTTCAATGTGTCATAAACGAGCATAGCCAAAAGTGGGATATGATGTGATGTGCTCTTCATAGATTCCTAGATTACCCACGCCTCCATGGAATTCCCCATGTTCAAACTTCCCTTTGCACAACAACCCCAGACCTACTTAAGGTGGCAAAGGAAGTTTGGGAGCAACAAGCCTTGCTGTATTTGGCAGATGTTCCTCATCTGCCAAAGGCCTTACCAGACCCGAAAGAGGTTGAAAGGTTGTGACAGCTGGGAGTGACTGAGACGTCCCAAAGTCTCTGCTTTAGCCCCATTATCATGGTTCCCAAGCTGGATCACACTCTGCCATTTTACAAGGACTTCCGCCTGCTGAATGAGGTTGCCCAATTTGACAGCTACCTCATGCCCCCGCACAGCTGCGTCAAGCACCTGGGTATGGCCTACTTCATATCCACCCTAGACATCACCAAGGATTATTGACACTTCCAAGGAGGTGTCTAGTAGCCACTGGCAGCACCGTGTTCTCCCTTCTGGGATCCATGGAACACCACCTTTCCGGAGGCCCATATATTTTCAACCCTTTCATTCCTGAAATAAAATCTTGCCTCTCAAGGGATTAATTTCCTGCAGACTTGTCTCCCATGTCTCCTTGTCCACTATAGTACATAAAACATATATACAGTTCTCATATACAGTATATAGTTAAAAAAAATGTAAATAATAAATTTACGATATACTTAGGTTGCTATGTTTCAGTATCAGTATACTTATTTTAGTTAAGTATTTTTGATAAGAATGCGTTAATAAGTTTGAGACTGGGCAACAGCACATGAAAATCCTGGAAATACTTACCGTAAAAGAGTAAGTCATTTGTTCTTCCCGGTCTACCGGTATCAACAGTGTCAAGTAGCGAGTGATTCCTGATGGTGTGATTCTGAACACATTGTTATACTTGTTCAAGGATATTTTTAACATGGGATCTTTTGTCTAAATATAGAAAATGAGGGAAAATGGGTTAATGTAGATTGACCTACAGTACTACTTATGACATAAATTTTAAAGTGTATATTCAGTTTGAAAGACCCTGAGTATTATAAGCAGAATAAAAATGAAAAAAAACTGACATAATTTAGCACTCACTGTCAGCAAAGTGTGAAAGTATTTAAAAAATATATCGTGTAAAAACAAAAAGTAAACTAAGATTACAAATGTGATTTGAAGCTGAAGACATTGGGGGACAAAAGTTAGTGAATTTTCGATGAAAAATAAGAACACCATGTAGACTATGGAGCCTATAAAATGCTAAAAATAAACCCATATAAATTATTCACTGGAGGTTTGAGTATTATTTTAAAACTATACATTTATAGACAATATTACATATGTCGAATTCTAACTAAATTCTAAATCACTCCAGTATTTTTCTGGAAAATAGTGGCATACACACTTCCTCAACGTCCTTATCGAGGGCAATAATGCTGAGGGGAGCAGTAAAATCAGCATTGCTGGAGATTGTGGTGCCAACCGCAGCCGACTCTATGACGAATCCTTGATAAGTGGATATCTGAAAGTACGGGGCCTGATTGTTTTCCTCTAGGACCTCAATATACAAATTAGCAAAAGCAGGTAGGGGGTGTCGATTGTCTTGCTCTGCCTGGGAATAAAATTCAGAAATTTGTCAATTATGATGTTACCAAGTGAGTGTATATAATGATATTGAATTTCAATGTGAAGCAAGCAATTCAGTTTAATCAAGCTGTGATATAAGTGCACAGTTAAGTAAAAGTAACAGCATAAATACTATAACACCATATTTCATTATAAAGAACATTTTAGATCAAGTACAATGTGACAAATTCATATCCTTGCAAAATATACCATTATACTTCCAGGGATAAAAATTATAAAACAAAAATTCTATTAATTGTCACATTATAAATAAATATTTAATGACATTTAATATTATTTAGTAATATTTAAAATATTATTGTTTTATTATCCATTTATAATATTTATTCATAACTAGGACTAAAAGTAAACTATAGGCATGGAACAATTACCTTAATTATCAAGTCAAAAGCTTGATGCAGATCTCTGTTGATTGGTTTCAGAAGTCGGAGTTCGGCTGTTGTTCTGTTTAATGTGAAGTACTCTGCAAATGTTGCCGGTTTACCTGAAATTTGAGTGTTGCTAAATTATCAAGCTAATCAGTAAACCAGGGGAAACTGAGATTTACATAAAGTGGAAAAATGCAAATGATATTGACAATAATTCAAATCATTTTGAGAATGAAGTAATATTGCTAATAACAGTTGCTAATGCAGCTGAGAAAGAATGGGAGGGAACCAGTTCTCTAGCCAAGGTCCATAGGTAGAGGTGCAACACCAAAAGAACAGCAAGAGCAGCATTATTCATCTACTCATGGTGATGAGTGACTATTTGAGATATTACACATTGCAGGTACCTACCAATGAGGATCGAGTAAATAATTCCAGGTCGATCAGATGGAGGCTGAATGTTTTGATCTTGATCAACAGCTTTGATGATGGGAGTGACTTGAATTGGATTAATCCGTCCCTGAAATTAATGCATGGGTTTCAAATGTGATAAACAAAATTGTGACAGATCAGGAAAGATGACCACTTGACAAAATTGCTACGTACACATTTTCATTCTAATTAAAAAGAAATATATATGCAGTCTGCATTACTTCATTTACTTATCTCTATAATGATTGTACTTCTAATCCACTAATCTGTTAATTAGTAATTCATCTAATTACTAGTAAATTACTACAGCAACAAATCCCTGTGGCTCTTTACCTACCCAGTAACCTTGGAGTATGATGTAATCAGGTAATCTATCTTCCCAGTGCCAGACTCACTAGTTGTTTGGCTGATAAGCTGAATGGGAAAATCTAAAAATCGTTCTGAATCCATCTTCTAACTACTGTACTTGTCCTGGCCAGGGTTGCGTGACTAAGTTCAAAATTCACATTAGAAATTGTTAAGTGTTCTGATAGAACCATTGTATCAGTTCCACAATGGTGGTGGTATCAGAACTTACTGGGTCAGTGAGCTCTGGCACAGCTGCTTTGTACATCAAGGGTCTACAATCATCGGTGCTGTTTACCGGAGTACAGGGAAGAAACATTGGGCCTAGATCATCCCCATCCAGCACATCTACTGTCAAAGTAGTTGTGGCAGTCTGCCTGTCACCTGGATAGGGTGCACGGTCCTGTAGAAGAAATTGTGTAGAGTTGCCATTTTTTTCATCAATTCCATAAACGACAAATTTCACAAAAAACAAATGTATGCACTAGCTTGCACAAACTGTTAAAAATGAAGACTGGGAAATGCCCTGCTTACAAATTTGTCATAAGAAAATTAATGTCTTTTGGTGGGTTTCCCGAAACCTTCTTAACACTACGTCATTAGGAAGCTCTATACCTTAAGTTGTCTCTTAATGCTCCGATGTGTTTTAAGAACCGTCCTTAGTTAAGTACATCTTCCGTAAGATATGCTTTCGTAAGGCTGGTCTGAGCCTCTCTTAGCGGTCTCGTATTGCTGTTGTCAGCTCATACTGCTCTTTTAAAATTATACTAAAATTGTTAAGGGTAGAGTTTCATAACTAAACATCACCTAACTAAAAAATAACTGATAATATGATAAAATTATTTTATCTGACACATGACTACAATCTTTGTTAGTTTTGTCCTTGCGCTCTGAATGCACAGTGAATAGGCCTCAGTGATGCATGGATTCATAATGAAAGATAAGGAATTCGCTGTTGATTATGTATTTATTTATTAATTGAGAATGAGGGGTGGAGGGATCTGCCGATATTTTTGTAGTGGATGCATTTCCCCTATTTCCGATGCTTGGGAAACAGATGTAGGAAAACAAATACCTTTTGTAAGATATATCTTCGTAAGATGCTAAGATTCACCGTTATCGTGAAACCCACCCTTGTTCAATGCATATCTTTGGAAACCCACCGCAATAATTTAGAAAGAAAAGCTGAGTTTTATAATGAATTGCACCATACTGCCATTTGAAATAAAATGCCTTTTGACCTATTTGTTTAAATGTGGACACAAATTCTTGGCATCATACAGTAAAGAAAGATAAATATATTTCGGAGTACATAAGATAAACATTCACATTACATAAACAGTTATATCATTATTAGTTATCATCAGCTACTTGTGAATATACAAACTGCATTCCTCTAAAATTTTCTGCACCGTGTCTGTATTTTGTGCTTCCTGAGTGCATTATCAGCATTTAACGCGCATAACTACGCCTTGTTTACAAGAATCAGATCCACCAGCATACTTTCTTCTGGCTTCCTTTACCTCCTATTCTTTGCTTCCTTAAATGACCACTAGAGTGCGCCATTTGCTTTGTTGGTTTCATCTCATTGTCTGTCTCATCTTTTGAAGCTGTACAAGCAGGAGCAGATACTCTGGAGTCCAGCATTGGACTGCAGTCACTGGTCTTTGAGCTGCAGGTTTCCAACTGACTGTGGCAACATGGCCCATTGCATTTCCTTTGATTCTGACAAAGTTCTTGCCTCTGCAATTTCTTCAGTTTTATCAGGGAATGCAAAGTGAGGCAGATCTAGCTATTTTGGGCCTATGAGCAGGGCAGAGTTCATCTGGGGCGCTCCGTTTTTCATCATTCCTTTGATGTGGGTATTTTCTTCAGCCAGAAGGATGATGGATTTTGACCTTTTATTGATTTTCAGCTCTTTGCAAGAATGTTGCAGTGGGAAGCTGCCAGAACTCATACAGAGGTAATTCTCGTGTCTGTGCATAGAGTTCATCAAACATCCGCGTGAGCCACCTATTCTCAGAATAAAGTTTCTTGTTCCCATCTGTAAAGCTTGCTGCACTCCTTCCAAAAACCCTGTCATCCCTGGTCCCATAAACACAATTTCACCAACCCAAAAGAACACTGTGAGTCTGGATGTGATGGACTGGTTCTACAAAGCCTGTCATGTTTTTGTTTCTACTGAAACAAATGAATTAACATCAGTTGGTCTCTCATCTGGTTATCACCAAAATGTATAATGTGCCGTTTTGGCTTTCAACCTCCTCTGTCTCACAAGCAAGATTTCATTGTAGGCTTGTTATTTCCAGCAGAGCTGGTTCAGTGTTATCCTCAGATCTGAAGGGAGGCCTGGCAACAGCAGCCTAGCCTGCTTGGCGCCACAGGTTTCAGATGTCCATCCTGGGTTCAGGGTCTGGCTCTCCGCAAACAACCTCCCGTTGTGAGTCATCCCTGAAGCTGGTGGCTCATTACATCAGACCATTCAAGGTCACGTGGAAGGTTAATCAGTTCTGCTATTGGCTCTAACTTTCTCTGGACTATGCATAATCGACATTAATACAGAATTAAACAAATTAAAAGTCTTGTTGGGTCACTGGATTACTGGATTGGATGCACATTTCAAATGTAATTATTTACCTTTAATTAATTATCTTTCATGTAAATGTGCTCATATTGAACGCATTTACATAAATTAAATTATGTTGAATTGAACAATAACTACACAAAACCAAGAGTATACTATCTATAAACGTATTAATCACATTTAAGATATACTGCACAACATTAGGTATATTTACTATGCAAATTAACTATTTATTGAAAAATCAGAAATAAGAGCTGCTTCAAAATCTTTAATAAGAAATCTGCTTAAAAAGAGTAGAAAGATTTTCATTACATTAGGGTTCTTTTAGTAGTTTCTTAAAATATTGGTTAAGTGTTTGATAACTTTTCTAAAGCCTATAATATTATTAATATAGTTATAATTAAAAAAAACTTCTTTAAAACTCACATTAGCCTCAATAAGAACCAAGTAGCGAGTTTTTTCTTCATAGTTGAGTCTTCCCCTCAAGATGACAGACCCAGAGACAGCAAGCGGAATGCTGAACATTCTGTGTGACACCTGCCAATGAGATACTGCATATTACACATTGAATATAATTAATATTATAATTTAAAGCCAAAATATTTCTCTGTATCACTTGTGAATGACCTCCAAAGCACCTTAGAAATAGTACTAAAAATAACATGAGACATTGTAAATATATTGTTTATATTAATTTCACATACTGGATCATTCGGATTATATCTAATTTGATATTCCACTTGTCCATGCGGTCCATCATCAATATCAATGGCTCCACCATTTCCAGATAAGCCAGTAAAAATTGTTGTTCCAGCTGGAGTAAGCTGAAAACATACATAATACAAAAGTATAACTATAATTATAGTACAAAAGGGGGGATGGGCAACTGCGGGAAACAGCAGGGGGGAAAAAAACATAGACAGAGGTTATATTACATTGATAATGGCAGAAAGTCGCTTCTCCATGCCTTCACCGCTTATACAACAAGAAGTTGCGCAATAATTATAATTTTGAAACGTAGTCAGGCAGCATTATACGGTAACCCCTTCACAATCGCGGATCTGACATTCGCAGTTTCGTTTGTCGAAAATGGCTCAGATCACATAAAATCATATAATATATAAATATTAGTGATACATAATATTTGTCACACTAAGTGCGTATTATATCATTAATACACACGTCTTTGGATCGGCAATCGGCTTTGCTGAAGTGTGTGTGCGCTCTCTCTTCCCAAAGGTGGAGTCAAATTTACCATTTAAAGATACATTTGTAAAGTCTTGTACTGAACGATAAAAAGCAAAGGACTTAATCTTGTCATTAAAATATTGCCGTTTTTTGTTATCTGACATAATCAAGTGGTGTAAATTAATGGAGTCAAACGAATGTTCTCGCGCATGCGGCTTCCAAAACAGGCTCCCAGTCCGAAATGTACCGAAGTGAACACGGTAACCTCAGAACCACCCAAAATCACGAAAAAGCCCATAAACACATTATTAAATGCTGTAAATGTAAATGATTATCTTAACACTGAATAGTTACATAAATGTCATTAAGACATACAGTATAATGGTTTGTTTATATATATATAAAACATTTTTATATAGGTTTGTTTATATATATGGTTAATTGTATGTTTAAGTTAAACTGCTTAAATAGTTTAGACATTTCTGCCATGGTTAAATGCTGTTTTATATATTTTTTTAATTAAGTGTTTTATTTGATTAATAAGATGTTTTAAATTAGTCTTTTTAGGTTACAAATTTATGTATGATCTGTACATAAATAAATTAATAAATAATTTGGAAATGTCCTACAAAAGACAAAAAACAACGTTGTATAGCTGTTTCTGAAATAGCATGGTAACGTTGTGAAGACGTGGTGAAGACATCGGAAATAACGTCATCTGTCCTGTACCGAGGACCCTACAAAATAACGTCCAAATGACGTCAATTATAAACGTTTGCATGACGTTGTTGACGTTCAGATGACGTTGAAAGGACATCATTTTGTTAGCTGGGAGTCACTCACCTCATTTATTGCTATAGAATAGCGGAGCCGCTGGAAGCGAGGGGCGTTATCATTACGATCCCTCACAACAATCCGCACTTCGTGTAAAATTACAGTGCCAACTATTTCATTGACACATTGAATCTGGACCACTATGGAGTGGATGTTGAAAGGTGGCTGAAAAGGAAAAAGTACACAAGCAGTATCTAAATAAATTGGTTATGAACTTGTATATGTATGTATGTATGTATGTATATATATATGTGTATATGTGTATATATACACACAGCCTCAACTGGAAATCTGTATAAGCTTAGATCTTTATATATTACCGGGAACTGTTCGTTATTTGCATTGTCATTGTATGAAAGGTTAATACATAAGTTCATCTGCTTGAAAACATAATTACCTAAGCTTTTTATACATGCTTTTTGTACAAAATTTGAAATAATTGGGTCCAATGGTTGTAAGCAAGATACAATTGATATTGTGTATACAGTATGTACTGTATGCACTACATACTGTCAAGACAACCCAGATAGACCTGTACCCTATCATTACAATTTATTTCCTAATACTCACTCCTCATCCTACATATATTGTAATGTTGATGCATTGAATTTGCTGTTTCAGCAGATGTTTTTGAGTTGGTTATCTTTCAGTTAGGTATTCCATCTATTTTTATAAAAGAATGCAAACATACAATAAATAACTAAAGTTAAATATGTAACCAGTGCTTGAAGTGGAGGGAAAACAGGTGCCGGTACTCCCCTTGGTATTCAGTACCAGGTGCTGTTACTCCCCATGTTATCCAGTACCAGGTGCCGGTACTCCCCTTGGTATTCAGTACCAGGTGCTGTTACTCCCCATGTTATCCAGTACCAGGTGCCTGTACTCCCCTTGGTATTCAGTACCAGGTGCTGTTACTCCCCATGTTATCCAGTA